CAGGGGGAGCTGGGGGCCCTCACCCCCCGTCCCCCACAGGCCCCAGCCCACGGGACTCTGTCTGCGGGAAGCAGCCCTGCCGGCCCTCTCTCCCTCGCAGCAAATGGCTGCTTGTGGCCCCATCCTCCCCCACTCAGGAGCTCGCAGACCCCGGGCCCAGCCCTGCCCCAGGAGGCGAAAGCAGAGCCGGCTGCTCCACCTGCCCCGCCCCTCGCGTGAGCTTTGCCCTGGCTTCTATCAGCAACAGTGCCAGGGCCACCAGCCTGGCACCGGTCCTGCAGGGGAGCCCGGCCAGCACCCCTCCTCTCCCCAGGGCACGTGTCTGCGGGGCGAGCGAGGCAGGAGCTGGCCTGGGACAGCGGCTGCACTAGTCCACCATCACTGGGCCTGAGCCAAGGCGTGGGGGGCATTGGCCTCCGCCCTTCTCTGCAGACTGGCCACAGCTCGGCTCCGGGGCCTCGGCTCAGCTCCAGCCTCCATCCCTGGACAAGGAAGGCTGCAGCATCCGTCGCCTTCCAGGATGTGCGGGAGGGAGGGGCAGGCGAGTGGGGGGGGAGGGAGCGTGGGAAGTCTGGCCATCCGGACCCTAGCCACTTAGACACGTCCCCCCAGAGACCACCTGCCTGGGGTCGTGTGGCGTGTTCGGTTAACCCTTTCAGGGGAGCAAGGAGAACGGGTGCAGCAAAGGGATTTCCTAGCCAGACACTTTACTCTTCGCTGGCATAGTGAGGCACAGAGCTTGGGCAAATGAGGGCTGAGCTCACCCCTCCTGCAAGTCCCGGGTCTGGTCAGCGTCCACACGCAGGGCAGCCCCTCCTGCTGCTCCCTCCTCCAGCTCGGCCTCCTGCCATGTGGCCATGGGCTGGCCCCTTGCTCAGAGAAGCAGCCGCCACCTTTTAAAACGGTCTCTGTCCCTCCTGCTGTCCACATGAATCCGCTGGGGAACCTCAGGGCTCCAGCCCCCCTTGGTTCTGTGCAGAGAATCGGCTCGTCACAGGAGCCCCTCGCATTCAGGGGGAGTCACTCAGCACCGACGGCTCTGCCAGCCCCGCCCCACTCACTGGCATTCAGAGGAGCCCGGCAAGGAACAGCACGGCCAGACCTCAGGGGAGCAGGACACCAATGCAGACAAGCCTGCACCTGGCCACCCAGGGAGTCCTGTGCATTCCTGCTACCCTCTGAGAGGGGAGTGGCATCTGAGCACATGGGGGCAGGGGTCTGGCTCAGCACCCCCACCCATCTCCCTGCTGGAGCCAAGACCTTGGAGGGTGAGGCTGGTTCTGTCCCCTTCCCCCGGTCTGTGCAGCACCCAGCACGCCAGGGCCTCGCTCTTGGTTGAAGTCTCTACGCGAGACCATAACGCAGAGAATAAGTAGGAGGCGGCTCCTGGGAGTGGCTTGAAATCTAGGCACCAAGGTGGCCTGGCCCGGCGTCCGGGGCGGTCTGGCTCTGCTAGCCATCCAGCAATGGGGTCTCTGTGTGCCACCACTGCTGTGAGGAGCAGGGCTGTGTGCACCCCCTCATGCCAGCACCACATGGCATGACCCCCATAACAGCAGGAGCATGTGTGGAGGGTCAGAGGAACTTGCGGCTCTTAGCCTGTGGCATTCCTGGGCCCTTCCTTCCATCCCATCATGCACCAGGCACTGGGAGCTGCCAGCTGGGTGGGGCGGGCACCCCTGAAACCAGCACCAAGCTCCCCTCCGAGGCCCAGAGAGGCAGGGACACAGTTTGAGGTGGATGAAGGGTACTAGGGGGGGCTCTGCGGGGAGCAGTGGGGAGGAGCAGTGGACAGACTGGGGGGTCACGTTACGCTGTTTGTTCCAGAGTCGGGGCCTCCCGCAAACTTCAGCTTGGAGCTCTCCATGGCGGGGATTTTGGGTGTTTATTAAATGCACATGAACAGCCTGGCCCGGCCCTGAACTCAGCCCACAGCTGCCTTCTAGCGCTCGGCCCCTGCTCTTGCACTTGTACTGAACCAGCCAGCCACACATTTCCACAGCAGGGCAGGTAACGGGCAGCCTGAAAAGCCCTTGAACTGACTGGAGGAGCAGCCTCAAATTCCCTGGGACACAACCAGCCGCCAGCCCTGGGGTCTATGCATTCCCAGACCCCGCTTGCTCTCAGGTTGTGGGGGGGCTCCTCTCCCAGCCCCACTCTATTGCAGGGGGAAGCACAGGGCCTTGTGGGCCCGGTGCCCTGGTGGTTTTCTCTAACAAGGGGAGGGGAAGCCCCAAGCGCCCAGACGAGAGGGGGTGGGGGTGCAGGGTTTGACTCAGCAGTCAGTGATGACACATCCCTGCCAAACCAGCCCCCAAAGCAGGGAGCCCGTCAGGCCAGCAAGAGCTGCGCATTAGGAAGTGCCCAACCCACCACAGCACCCGGGACCCAGGAATCACCCTCTGCAGCAACAGGAAAAAGAGGCAGGGCAGCCCTCCAGGCTGGGTCGCGCTCACATGGCCCCATGGGCTCCTCCCACAGCAGCCACCCTGGGCTGAATTGTCCCCTTGGGAGTGGGGCCTCGGACTGAAGCGCCACCTATCCTGAGATCTCCCCAACACCAGGGTGTTAACAGGCCCCACATGCTGCTGCCCTGGAGGGCTGGCAGATCCCTCCAGACAGTGAAGGGGCGGTGACGGGGAATGGAAAACATCTGCCCCCAATTCCCCCGCATTAGGCCTGCAATGCTTCCCTCCTCTGTCCACGTGTCCCTTCTTCACCCCATCGTCTTTACCCACTTTGGGGGTTAACGCCTCTTGCTGCTTTCCCAGCTCGCTGGGGGCTAGGCCCACGGCCCACCAAGGGCGTGGGCTCCCCAGCAGCACGGCAGGAGCGAGACTGCGGACACGGCTGCTGAATGGCCAGTGTTAGCAGGGGGCTGTGTCTGCCCAAGGACACTCCAGGCCTGGCTGCCTGCACCTGGCCCAGACACTCACCCCGGGGGATTTGCCATCCTGCAGCTGGGTGAACTCAGTCCGGCATGTCAGAGTAACGCCAGCGCAGGCTCTGGCTTTGAGTGACCTCTAGTGCTTCACCCCATGCACTGCAAGCCCTACACTGGGGGCTGTCCCTCGGGCAGGACCAAAGCAGGAACAAGAGACCCCACTAGTCCCAGCAGGAAGATGAGGGAGGGGTTAGGGATTCTCAGGTGGGCTAGTCCTGCTCACCCCCAGCTCCTTGGGAGGCTGAGTAGAGTCACCATCTTTCCCCACTCAGGCTGCTCAGCGTAGGGCCAAGCGGTCACCCCCCCCGACACACCCACACACACACCCACACCACGCTGGGCCACGTGACGCCAGTTCTACATTATGAAATTTTATTGCTGACATGCAGGAAGAGTTTTGATGTAGTACAAAAATATGTCTTTATACAAATTTTTTTTTTTCCATTTTTTACACTAGGATCCTTGTCTACAGCATGTCATATGTCTAATCTACTGAAACCAACCCCAGCAGCTCTCAAACCCGCCCCGGGCACTGCCATCTTTTTCCAGTTTCTTTACTATAAACATGTGATCATTCACTGGTGATTAGTCATTTGCAGGAATACTCAGTATTATACAACTTTGCAGAGTCCCCAGAATATTGCTTTAACTTTGGGAAAAAAACAAAACACGAACAAGTAGCGAGCTAGACCGGGGGGGGCGGATGGGGGACGGCGGGGGGGACTGGAGGTGCAACAATCCACACAGCGCTCCTGGGCTCCAGCCTGCCGTGAGAACTGTGGAGGGGAAGAGGAACTGGCAAGAATGGGCCGTCAGGCTATTGCCCTGAGGCGGTGTGCAGTGCCCAGGTCTCAGAAAGCCCTTCCCGCACGGTGCAGGGCAAGCCCGCAGGGAGGCCTGCCTGGCAGAGCTGTTACGTGGTGGTTGGCTGGTATTTTTGAGCAGCCAATGGCAAGGGGCTCCGCATGCCAGCTCTCATGCTGACGGCACTGAAGGGTAGTGGTGCCACACCCGTACGTAGCATCTTTGAACAAAATAAATAAGAGACTAATACGACTTCAAGCTACTGGCTCATCCCGGCGAGCTTGGCGAGGCTGTTCTAGTCCCTGTTAGTGTTCATGAGGAACTTCCTGCACACCGTGAATCTGCTTCAGGGAGTTCGGAGGCAGAACATAATGCCCAAAGCTTACAATTAACATTCCCGCCAAGGAATTTCAGTTCAGCCCCCGAGTGCATCAACAGGCAGAATCCACTGACAGAGGGCTGTAGATTTAAATACAACTGGGAAAAGGCTAAGACATCTCCAGCCTTTAGGCAAGAGACGGCAACAAGCTACAAATAAATCCCACGACTCAGGCCATGCTTGCGCTCACTCACGTACCGGGGGAACGAAAAAGCAGGTGCTGGGGACTGCACGGGCTGCGGCCCCACACTGGATACCCAGTGACACGGGGGCTCAGCCAGCGAGCACCTGTTCCAGGTACTTGGCTGATGTTGCTACTTCTCAGCACAAACCCCTGTATCTAGTGAGAAGTACTTTTGATTTGGCAACCCTGAGCCCAACCTGTGGCCAGCACAATTCCCATCTCCGTGCCAGGGTCCAGGGATTGCCAGCTTCTCGCATCTGTTATTCCAGCATTTCCTCGCACCTGCCCAGCCAGCTCCCAGCTATCCACACTACTGCTTTTTTATATAGCTCCCCTGAAATCAGGTGGTTTCTTTGGTTACCACAACTAAGAGAGACCATTACATTAAAGCTTATTCGCGTGAGTGCTGTGGGGCTCCAAGCTACGGCTGGGAACAGTGTGTGGTCAGGTCTAGGGGAAAAGCAAAACTGGCTTCTGGGTTAATCAGACGCCTGGATCAGGCAGCGTAGGCCATGGGATCTCTCTGGTGAGAACAGTTCTCTGGCAAGACCGGCATCCAGTTCACAAAATGAGGCTCTGAAATGATCTATCCTGTTCTCAACACAGCCCAATGCTTATTTAATGGCATTTGGTGGTGGAAGCTGGGATGTCCCTGTCCACGCTAATTCCCAATGGCCAGACCAGAGGAACAGCACCAGATTCACATGGCAGGACTGGGAGGGCAAGATAAACTAGAGAGCACATACAGTCGAGGCTTTAGCCAACCCCTCCCTCTAATTCGACACAGATTATTCTGGGGAACTTTTTCACATTATAACTCATATATTATCTGTGTACCAGGATGAACGGTGAAAATGCTAACAGAATTAATGCAAATTTACTGCACCTTAGATAAGCTACTGAAAAACAGGATCAATCATATATTCTTGAGAGGCTAAAAGAATCCATGAGGGGGAGTCAGGGCCAAGACGGGCTAAATGGGGTTCTGCAAAACCTCTGAATAAGCCTGGAAAGACTTTATAATAGAGCTTTGTAATGCTGGCCTGAAATGGTCATTGGCATCTCCCCCTGGTCCCACTGCTCAGGAAACAGGCTTCATTTCTTAGCTGTCTAAGGTAACCAGGATGTTAATGTTCGTATGATGCTTATTAAAGGCCAAAAGTGCTGTTACGGAGACACCAGCCAGGATTAGACAAAATATATCCAACCCAGGTGTTGTGTTAAAAATAGAACGAAGGTTTCATGCAGATAAGGGGTGGGAGGTTTCAAGAAATTGTTACTTTCATGAAACCCAGATAAAATTAAGCTTATTCAAACCATATGGAGCAAATGCTACCAGCCAACTCTCCATACTGCACACACAGCCACATATCGATTTCACCCTTGGTAATAGTCTCCCTTCCCAGAGGTTTTGCTCCATCCAGAGAACAGCACAGTTAAAAAGACAGAGGTAGATTAAAAAGTCATGATTAAAAGCAGATTAGTCATCCAGGCTTGGATTTAAAAATCGGAGATTCCAAAAGATGCCAAGAGTTTGCTGCTTCCAAAACTACCTTTCTCAAAAGTCTTCTCCCTCCAACAGAGCGAGCATGAGGCGTGTCCCTTAACAGAGCTTGAAGGAGCTGCTACATTAATCTCTATCACAGGGCACAGGTATTGCTGTCGAGCTGTAGTAGCAACGTGAAAGGCAGACTGCAGGATGGTGCTTGTGCTGTTGGATGTGTGGGAAGCTATTTCCGAAGGTATCGCTGGGCCAGGATGGCAGCATCCAAAGGGTTCATGGGCTGGGCATCATGCCCCAGGCGTCGCACGGGCGGGATGTTCCCAAACTGCCGCTTCTGCAGGAAGCTCTTCGCCTCGTGCAGCGTGTTCTTCTCCTCAGCCAGGAGCAGCTGCTGCCTCATGTAGTTCTCAAACTCGTACTGCGAGCACTCTTCGGTCACCTTCGCCTGCAGACAACACAAAGTGAGTCAGCGCTGTGGGAGTGCCAGTCCCGTGGCAAAGCACGCTTGTGCACAGCCAGTTGGTGTGAGCCCCTGAGGCCTAACAGCCAAGAACTCATTAGTCTTGGCACACTCAGCGCATTGATGGGCCTTTGCCAATACCCATCTTAGATAGTCCTGAGCTACCGATAAAACAGCGAACGAGTTCACCTAACCAAAGCATGCAGGCCTCTGGGCAGCCTGCCTACTAACACAGACACGTGTAGGGTTCCCATGCAGTCACCACCAGGGAAAAGTAGGAATGGGGCAATCATGAGCTGTCCCTTGGCCCCTGCCCACTCAGAATGGGCAAAGGGTGGGCATCTCGCCCCAGAGCTGCCAACTACACTTGATCTGGGAATCTGACCACGAGGTGAGTGGGCCAAGAGGCAGCCACTTTCCCCCAGGCTGGGAACACAGCCCGGGCTGCTCAGTGTGGAGCAGTACCAAGGCTCTAAGAGGTGCGCTGGCGCAGCAAGGTCACCAGCCATCACTTCCCACACAAATGCACTGGCAAAGAGCACAGGATGTTTATTCACGCTGCAGAATACGCGAGAGGTGCAGAGGCCGTGCTGCTACCACTTCCTGGTTCTCCCCGCAGCGACGCTGCAACTCTGGGGACCGCATTTACACATGGGAAATTCAAGCCCAATTGTTGAACAGAAAAGCTAAGAGACCAATATAGCGTGTGTGAGCTGAGCTAGCTGGTGCTGCCAGATGCTTCCTCTGCAAAGCTCCACTGCCACTGCCCTGTTGGAAGGCATCGACAGCTATTCCGTAGAGCACGGGGAGTCAATTATTTGTTGCCAGGGTCCAAATTTCTTGGTCAAGGTATAGTCAAGGTCCAAACTCCAGAGAAAAAAATAATAGAAAATAATGATAATGAGTAAATAAAAAAATTCAGGGGCCGTTCAAAAGCATCTGGCGGTCTGGATTTGGCCCACAGTATGACTGACTACCCCGACCTAGGGTCACTGTTACCGATGGAGACCTGAGAGCTCACGCCACCTTCTGCACTGTGATTCCAGCAGCGCTCCCCTCCCTGTCTAGGGGAGGTGCTGTGGAGGGCAGGGGTCCTCCTGACAAGACGACACAAGGGAAGTGAAGGGACAAGAAAAAGTGGGAGTTGAGGAGAAAGGCAACTGAAGGGGAAGCGTGCTGAGGCCTGGGGGAAAGGAGCTGGCTGTCAGAGCAGGGACAAATTCTCATATGTGCCCACTCGGCAGGACAGCTGGTTATCTGCCCACCACAACCAAAGCCTCCCTATATCTCAACACCGTGTGAAATAAGCTGACCGCCACGCTGCCTTCTTACCTCTTGGGGGGTTTCTGGGTTAGTCACCTGGTCATCAATATCAGGCACCACTTGCAAAGGGCCACTTAGTGAGGACATGGACTGCCTGGGGTGTGGAGAACACAGTGCATTAGCAATTTATGGCACAGACACTAGTGTCACTAAACACACAGACAGGGTACGTCCCACCTGCCACGCAGCACCTGTGTGCTCACTGCAGCTCCAGCTAACCAGGTGTGTCTAGGGTGGGCATCTGTCTCGATGCCTCGCACACTACGCAACGGAAGACGCTACTTCACACTCTTGGTTTTCGCCAGTGCTCTAAGCAGGATGTGGCACTCTTACTGCCTTGTTTAGGCAGAAATGAAAATAGCCCGTGTTCCAGAAATTGCTGAGTTTGCTGCTGACTCACCGGGTGCCCACTCTAGCGCCAGGCTTGGGGCATTCTGCAGCAGAGACTGCACTGCACAGCTGGTGGGGGGGGGAGGGGGGGCGGGAGAACAAGGAACTGTTGCTGGAATGGGCCCTTGGCTAGGGGCTGAGACAGAAGAGCTTCCTCTTGCTCAGTACGTGCACAGTTCTGGAGTCAGATTGATCCTTAAATGGCATCCCTGTGCCCCCCCACGATTAAATGCTCTAATTTAGAACAGAAACATCTACCCTGTGCCCTTTTCAGGGCTCATGCCTGGTTTTACTTAGTTGGACTTCATATCACTGGTTACAACCCGTGGGCCGCCCAAGTCTCAATAGCAACATATTCCTGTTGCACAAGCGAGGTACGCCTGACCCCCAGGAAGCACAAACTCCCCATTCTCCTGAAGCTGGAAGCACTCACCACGATGCTATGATGGAGCTGAGGGATTCCAGTACTTCGGAGGCCGTGAGACGCTGCTGCGGATCCAACACCAGCAGTTTTCGGATCAAACACACAGTGTTTTCAGAAACCCGCCCATCTCTGCCAGAGAAAGGTGCCGTCAGAGCAAGACAAAGGCCACGACGGTTACTCAGCTCAGAGATTGCTGGATGTGGGAGGACTAGCCAGGGGCTGGTGTGGGGCAGGGGACGGGAGAGCAGGACAGCACATGCAGCGCAAGGGCCGTGCTCGGATTCACTAGAGCTCAAAATTAACTACTGGGTTTGATTTCCTTCGGTTCGATTTCCATGTTTCCTTGTTCAAGCTGGGGGCAGCAGTGCTAGGGCCTGGCTCACATTTAGAACAAGGTGCCAGAGCACAGCTCCTGCATCCTTGTAGGGCACTATATGCTGGAACGCTTGCACCCAGCGCCACTGACGCCCAGGGCCTTTCGGTAGCTGGAGCTCCCACAGCCACTGTTCCGCATGCACTAGGGGCTGGGCGTGCCGGGGGCTGGGTCACTCACTCAGGGATGGTGTACTCGGCAGCCTTGATTTTGCGGAAGAGCTCCTGAGGTATGCTGTCATAGAAAGGAAACTGGCCGTACAGCATGGTGAAGAGCACCACGCCCAGTGCCCACATATCGCTGGGTTTCCCACGATACGGCCGACCTGGAGAGAGGAAGGGACAAAAGCAGGTCACGCGATGCTGCGACCTCGGGCTCTCATTCAGTATGGCGCAGCACAGGAACCGTCTCCCAAGCAAGTTCTTCTTTCGGCATTAGATCAGCATGATTATAACCCTTTGGCTCCTGAGCTAGCCAGCCACCTTTCGAAGGAGTCTCCATTAAGACAGTGCATGCAGTGTGCACGTGAACTCCCCTCTGCGGGACGCACACTGATGGGTAAGAAGTCAAGCTGTTCTCTAGCTGAAGCCTTCCCCTGTCTGAGGGGAAAAGTTATTTACCACAGGACCTTGAGATTACATTAAATGTGCAAGTTCTCATGGCCTGACACCATGCAGCACTTCACAGGGGCTTGGGATGTGGCCTATCCTGCTCTCTGAAGATGCAGGTTCATATTCTGGTAGTGCTCCCGCAGCCCTTCCTTTGTCCAGAAGCAGATAGAATGAGCATCTTGAACCCATCTGGGGTTCCTCTAAAGTCCTGTCTCTTCTACATCCTCACCAGGGATGCCCTGAGGGCATTTCTTTTGTTCCCCAACCCCACTGCCATGCACTGATGATCAGTGTCCACCACACTAGGTGCTGCACGTATTGGGCAAAGTACTCCTAGGTGTGTATTGCTCCAACTCCAGTTCATTAGGTTCAGAGGAATTTCATTGTTGGCAAGAGTGAAACGACAGAAGACTAAAGATCTCTGCAATGAGAAGCATGGGGGGGGACTGGGAAAAGAACCTGGAAAAATATCCACCTCAGGTTAGCCCCAATCTGAAAGCTACCACCATACAGCCCCTATCGCCTGGCTGTATAGGACACATCACCATATTCATGTGGAGGTGCAGACTCCCAAGCTGGTCACACATGATGCACCCAACTGAGCTGACATGACTCAGCCCTTAGGCGAGATCTGAAATAGATGGTTGCTGAAGTCTGACATTAAGAGGCACAGCTCAGAGAACCTCTCCCCCATGCCTCAGCATCCCGGGAGCCCTCCACTGCAGCCCCCATGGCACTCTGGAATCCGCTAGAGCAGGGGTCGGCAACCTTTCAGAAGTGCTGTGCCGAGTCTTCATTTATTCACTCTAATTTAAGGTTTCACGTGCCAGTAATACATTTTAACGTTTTTAGAAGGTCTCTTTCTATAAGTCTATAATATAGAACTAAACTATTGTTGTATGTAAAGTAAATAAGGTTTTTAAAATGTTTAAGAAGCTTCATTTAAAATTAAATTAAAATGCAGAGCCCCCCCGGACCGGTGGCCAGGACCCGGGCAGTGAGTGTCACTGAAAATCAGCTGGCGGGCCGCCTTCGGCCCGTGTGCTCTAGGCTGCCTACCCCTGCGCTAGAGGGAATTGCTGCTTTAGAATCCCTGCAGTCAGTCACCTCATCAATCACGCACAGAAGAGCTTGCAGGAGCTCCTGTTGCTGTACCACAGCACAGGATTAAGGGAACGACTTCCTCTGAGTCACCAGTGAGTCACCACTGCAGCATTTGGTATCGGTACTAATTATTCTTTGCTTTGTGCAGCTCAAGAGGCACCTCACCCTCCTCCTTCCTTGCCGACTTCTGCAGTGACACTGGGTCAGCCATGACATTCAGCCCATCTCTTAGCAGGAGACAGCTCCTTCGAGAGCCCTAAAACAAGGAGTAATGATCCCTGCTGCTTTAGCTCCCCCTCACCCCAGAATATTAGACATGCAGACAGAAGGAGGCTCCACCACACCAAGAACAGTCTCTTAGAAACTAAATGAACATCTAGTTTGGAAGGAAAATCTGATGGCCTTGGGTCTCATCTGCTGCCAGGTTCAGAGGATACTGTGGCCACGGACTGAGTGGTTCCCGAGCTGCATTCTTACTGCAGGCTCCAGCCTGAGGCTCCCGGGGGTGCAGGGTTACACACAGACTCTTCCCTTTCACAGGACTGGCTCGGAAGGTGCTCATGCCAGAGGGATCCATCCCAGAACCACAGGCTTTTGCCTGGGAAGGTCTGCCATCAGTGCTGCAGCTGTGGGCTGTCCCAATATACAAGGCTCTATCCTGCAAGGCCCTTAGCAGCCTCTACTCCAGGGAAGTCAATGTGACTGGAGGGTGCCCAGAACCTTGCAGGGCTGGGCCCACAGATGTGTCATGCCCAAATTTGGCAACAAGGGAGATTTTAGAAGAGCAAAGAAATGCTCCCAGTAGCACTACGCAGCCATGAGTGGCAAGGTCAGGCAGGGCCCGGGCCCAGGCCAGATTACTGCAGAACCCCACCGATGAGTAAGGAGAAGCCCCAGCAAAGCAGGAGGGCTGGAGACAGCAGCAGGGAGTTCCAAGCAACCTCTGTCACAAAGAGCAGCCAATTTTGCTCAGACTGCCCCAGTGCCCTGAAATGTACTTAACTCACTCCACTCACTTGGCCACAGGAGCTCACAATACCTCGAGAAGCAGGCGAGATACTTACAGGCCTGCAGAGCTCTCAGCAGGTTCTGGCCTGCGAGTTTCTCTGCACAGAGGCCCTGGGCGTTTGCTGGCTTAGGACAGATACTGGGTAACATGGACCTATGGGGCTTTGCTTTCTGGAGGCTCACTCGGTTCCTCTGTATCAGGCATTGAGGGGAGAGGATAAGATGAACAAAATTAAAAATCCTGCCCACCTTCCTACCTCCCCCCCTCCGCCCCAAATCTTTGTACTCGCCCCAATTGAGTCAAGAAGCAGCCAGGCATTGCTGCAGCTAGCCACTACATTCTAGTGCAAAGCTCCATGGCAAATGATGTCCCTGGATTACAGCTGACCAAACAATGAAGGGCTCACTTCTCACATGCTGACCTGCTACAATGCTACAGATGTCGCATAAGATAATGACAGGGCCTTAAAACAGGTCCTGGAAGGAAGCAGATCAAATGCCCCAGAGATTTTCAGAAGCCTGCTGTATCTCAGGGCCAAGGCCCGGAAACGTGCAGTGAGGCACCCATGGGAAGCAGACACTCCAGGGTGAACTACCTCACGGCTGTTGCTGATCTGTCTCTGCCCCTGCCCCGGCAGGATGAAGCCAGGGAGAAGAGACTCGAGCCTTGCGGGCAGGACTAAGAGGTGCCTGCTGATAGACAGAACAGCCTGTCTCTGCAGGTTTTGCTGCCTCCGGGAACATAAAAAGCCATTTTTATTGATACTTTAAGAGGGGTCCAACAGAGTCCACAGACCAAGGGAAGTCTCCTAGCAGAAAAAGGCAGAATCCAAACACACAGAAGTCAAGCTCTCTCAAGGTAGTTGTCAAACACCAGCTTGGGCCAGGCCTTGAACCAGCCAGGGCCGACTCGGAAGCAACACCGAACATCACAGCTCACTAAGCCCCGTTCTCTCCAGGCACAAACAGCTCAGCTGTAGTAGCACAGACTTGGGATTCTAGCTTGACACCCTGCTATGTGCCAGGTCCCCTAAACGCTTTAAAGCCGCAGGTCACTAGTGCAGTCACTGCCTAGTCAAACACAACCACCACCTACTACTTCGCTATTGCAGATTCAGCGGCCGGGACGTTGGCCATGGGATCTTTAATTTCCACCAAGGCAGCACCCAGAGACTAAGCAAAAGGGAGCTGTGTAACATCAGACAGCACAGCCAGGGGCAAGTGCTACACTCCTGAGGTATCAGCACTGACTGAGCCCTGGTTCTTGTGTGGGATGTGCTAAGCTGCACAGATCCCTCGCGGGACAGAATTAAGACAGAGCCCAAGAGCTTGTCTACACATGGACTTCGCCAGGATTCCTGACCAACTCCACGTGTGGACATGCTGATTTCAGAGTCAGAGAGCATTGTTCCGGTGTAGCTTAATCCAAGAATTACAAACACTCTTCCCTTCCCCTCCCCACCTGGCTAGTTCTAATATCGGGGTGTAAGAGGATCTTAGGAGGCATGTTACATCTGGGAACAAGACTAGACAGAGTTCTCTTCCAGTAACAAGAGCAGCATACAAATAAAACAAAGCTGACTACATGCGCAGGGCTGTGAACTCCCGCTGAGGAAGGAAGGGGATCGCCTACCACTGAGAACGTCTGGGCTGATGTACGCGGGGCTCCCTCGCTGATCCTTCAGCAGGTCGTCTTCGCTCACTAGGTGCTTTCCAAGACAGAAGTTTGTTATGGTTATTCGGTGAGTCCTGGGGAGGATTACAAGGCATTAATGAGCAAGGAGAGCCAGGTCAGGAGCCAGACAGCGTGAACCAAGGGAATTAACACGAAGGCAGAAACAACTATACTTCTTTGCAGGAAGCCAATAAAACACCAAGCAAAGGCTAGCTTTACATTGGCAGCCGTCGTTATAAACCCAGCCCATTCTGAGGGAGAGGCATTCTAAATATGCTAAAATAGGACTTGGCATCGTATTTGCAAGGGGTAAAGTGCCAAGCTGGACCTCTGTGTTGGGCTTTAAAATCTCTACCACCTCTTGTGAGCACCAAGAAATGGCTGCTTTTTCATTTGAGAAGTTGACCCTCTCCCCCCGCCCCCAATCTTTCCACAGACCCATCTTCAAACAAGTACTCCACTGCAGCAGTGTTTCACAGCACACAACCAGGCTTTCCTGGATACTCTTTACATGGACGTACCCAGTGTGCAGACAATGGTTAATCAATAACTAGGAGTTTCTTTATGGATAACTGTTTCTAGGTAAAGAGGATAAAAACTTTAGATATACACACACGTTTCACACCAAAATACCCTTGTTTCTACAGGATTCCTGATCTGATTTAAGAAATTCTTGGAGTTAAGCTCATTATGAAATTAATTACCTCCATGTTACTTTCAGTCACTTGAACAATCTAAGAATCTTAACATAAAACTCAAAGAATGGAGGCCAAAGCCACTGTCTAGAAGATGACATTATTATACTCTGGGAAAGTATTTCTAATGTAGTGCTGGCAGGTGTGGATTAAGTCAGTCAAAATTATCCATGAAATATTAGAAGAATCAAAAATCAAGTATGGGTTGGCAATGGAGAGAGTTTCCCCATAATTTTTATTTAAGAAACAAGACTGATGTTCAAGAGACTCCCATTAGACTACTGTCAAGAGATTAAAAGTGGAATGTCAAGAGACACGCTGTGGAAGGATAGCAGATCCAAGCTTTGCTAGCGATGTAAAAGGCTCAGTGTTTAGATTAACAGACACGAAGACGTTCAGAGTTGCTTGGCTTTCTTGAGGCACTGAAATCTGATCTGATTTGCAAATGTAGAATCAAGCTGCTGCACTGGCTACTTTGGGGGTGGCCTGAGCTAGCCAGAGGTTTTCATGCTGGGATCGGTTTTCCAGGTGACAACGGCTGCAGTATTTTCATTAGCCTAGGAACGTGATGTCTGTGGTTTGGATTTTATAAAGCGACAGTCAGCCAACTCCACCACTGCAGCCAACAGAGAAAACATGGGTTTTTACAACAGGCATGTCTGGCGCCGAAAGAACATTTCTGATCAGCCCAAATCATTGGCCCTCTCCACAGCAAGCTATTCAAAAGCTTACCTCCCTGCCCCTTTTCAACGACTCGTTGTAGACGATCCAGTGAGTTTCTCTCTCTTCAGTTAATGGCATTCTAGCCATAAAACTCGTTATTTTAGACAAGAGTAAACCTAGCATATATTTGGTAAAACTGTTCTTTATACCCAAGCATCTTGGTGTCACTTCAAATGCCTTTCCCGTCTCGCTAGTAAGGGATGCATGTGCACAGACGGTTTGGTGCCCCCCCCCCCCGGCATGTGATGTTTGTAGCAAGGACCCTTAGGGAAGTCTCATTTTGCCTCTTTCCCGCAACCAAAGGAGTTAAACAGAAAGCTTATCCTGCAGCTGTGATCGTTAAACACAATACAGGGAAAGCAGCTCCTTGCACTGAAAGCCACCAACTCTTGCAGGGGAACCAAAGCATTCAGTCGGGGCAGGTAAAGACTTTTCTGTTTGTCTTCAAATAGGAACTGGGAGCTGAGTACACACAGCCAGCATCAGAGTAACAGCCGTGTTAGTCTGTATCCGCAAAAAGAAGAACAGGAGTACTTGTGGCACCTTAGAGACTAACAAATTTATTAGAGCATAAGCTTTCATGGACTACAGCCCACTTCACAGCCAGCATGTATCTAGAGATTCTGCGTGGGAGCAGAAAGGTGGTATTGGGGGAGTTGAGCATAAGACTTTAGATTCCCACAGCTTCTCTGATCACATCACCCAACAAGAAAACCAGACAGCCCCAAATCACCATCCAATGAATCAGATGAGCCGCAGGGCGAGATGGTTAAGAAATGTGCACTCTTGGCCTCTAGCTCAAGGTACAACAGTAGAAGAAATGTGCAAGTGCAGCCTGTGTCATTCCTGAAACTGCTGGATACAGAGCTTCCATCTAATAATCAGCAGTGCAGTAACACCCTGACTGCCCAAGCCCCACAGCCCCAACATGAACTACTGAGAATGTGACCACTATTTCCACCCCAAATCAGAGCTTTAGAAATCTGAAGCTGGATAAAAGACATTAATTCTCGACACTTCTGGAAAGTAACTCCAAGGCGTGATGCAGGAGCCATGGATGGCCAAACACATATGAAGCTCTAAGAAGAACATTCCACATGTGGACATTGGAGGCAAGATAGGGACAATACACTAGCAAGGCAACACAAGATGACTACCACAATACTTCACAAAGCTAATGGAAGCACACGCAGAAGTGATGCTCAACAAGTGCCCATTTCCCTGACAAGTTTGGATACAAGTGAGTGTCTGAGATGCGCCACAGCTTGAATGCTGACCATGATATAGACTATGCAGATGAACTATTGCACGACAGTGCTGTCACGAGGTAACAAGAGAAGAGAAGTGGAATAGAAACAGTAGTGTAATCTGAATCACGTGGAAACACGTTCCCCTGGCATCTTGCCAATTCTGGTGAAAGTTGTGACTGGGATTAAGCTATTTTAAAACACTAACACTAAAATCTTGAACTCTAAAAGTTACTGTGAAATTCACGTCAGCTTAGTAAAGTGGGAACTCAACTTAGATGGCCATTTTACTTTAAACGTGAATTTTAAACACTGAACTGATTAGTTCAGCATTCAGCGAGGTATTTTAAGTAATGGAGCTCACGTTCTGGGAAGATATGCATGGCTAAAAATGAGGAGAGACTAAGAGTGGAAAGAACATGAATGTTTCTCCAAGTTAGTGTATGTTTTGATAGGAATAGCCTAACACTGACGCACAAAGGGAAACCCTAGGGTTTGCTACACAGAATGTGATATACAACTTCTTTGGGCCTAATGAGCACGACTAACTCTTCTCAAAGTGCAAACTTTATTTTCACTATATTTAAAAGGCTTGAGAAGTCACCAGCTAAGTTTGTCTTGTTAAGACAAGACTAGATTTTTGGGACAAAAAGAAAGGCCAACAAGGCCGACTGTACGTCGGAATAAAGCCACACGCTGTGTTGGATAATACTATAGGATTGCAGCATTCAGAACTGAGCCACTGGTTACTCAATTAAAGTCCAGTTTTGAATGAGTGTCAGAAAACAAGATTAACTCAAAAGATCCTCCACTTTTTTTTGGCAGACTTTAAGCTTTACTTGGGTTACTGAGACACTGGTGACCAGCTCTTACAATTTAACTGCAGAGAAATGATGGCTTTATTCCCTCAAGGCAGTCAATCCCATTCCAACAGGACTGGGAGAGAGAAATAAACGGAGATTTGCATCAGCGCCGTTTGGTTTCAATGAGTCACACTTCAGTTATGAGCCTTCTGGCTGATGGTCTGTTTTTTTCTTTTCTAGGAACTTGGGTTGCACCTCCCACCCATAAAAAAAGAAGAGAAGCTGTGCCAACCTCCCTGGAACAGGAGAGTTCACTTTCTCCAGAGAAGGGGAATGTATCTGGGTGTTTGAATATTTTAGGCTGGGCAGCCCCCCGTTTTTATTTTCCAAACACAACTTAAGGACCAGATCCTGCCCTCTGAGGTATGCACACCACCCGCACTAGAGTTGGTGCACAATGGCTCCAAGATAGAAAATTCTGCTGTTTGGCCAGTGGAAGAGAAATTGAAAGCCTGACTGAAATAAATTATCAGAAGTAATTAACTCCTGGCTCATTTCCACAAAAACAAGGGCCCCTTTCCGCCTTCTTTACACCCACCCAATCCCACTGTCTTCAATGGGGCAGCTCAGGTGCAACTGAGGGCAGAATCAAGTCCCAGAGTTTAAGCAACTTCAAACCAGTTGTGAAAGAAGCAGCAGCAAAATACAATTGAAGCTGGAAAGGGAGTCAGCACAACACCAGAATGAAAGCAGGAAACAGGCTAGGAGCACCCATCTTGCAAGGAAAAATAAGAAAGCACAAACAGGTGTCTGGTGTCAAATACAACTTGGGGAGAGACAGAAGGGTCAGCTTAGCCGGTGAGAACTGGCTGAACATAGATTTTAAAAGGACCACTCAGAAGGCTCCTGGATTGAATATAGAGGGTGGTGCTAGTGAGAAGTGTGACCATGTAAATATGGGACCAATTTACAACTTACTAACATGTCTAGCTCTCTACACATCTTGGGATCTGACTGCACTTTACTGACTACACTTTTACTCCCATTAGCCCTGCAGAACCAATAGGGTTCTAGTCTGCCTTGTGCACCCGAATGGTCAGATAAATCCCAGCTACAGAATCTTTGTTACTAGTGATGAGGTAAGAGGCAATAAAGGTGGATTTTCAGACCGAGGCAGAATATGGTGTCAGCAGTTACCAAAACATCGTCTGATCTGTAAACCGAGCAAGTTTTTTTCCCCTGTAAGTCAGACGATAAAAACCTGCAAAGTAAATGTAGAACTGACTACAGATAACTGTTCTTTAAGGGGGATCTTGCATTAATGCAGTGCTTTTTATATCCTGCTGCAGCCTAGACCCGCACTAATCTATAATTATGAGTGGATCTTATAAAGCTAGTTTGATCTGAGCTATATACAACATGAATAATCCCAGGAGAGGTACAGTTTAGCATCCAAACATCCCAACTCCCACAAAAACCCAGGTGCTTTAGACTTGTCAAACCATCATATCTTTTCTATGCTTACTTGCATTTTGTCTTTACTAGTAAAACCCCAGAACGACAGACAATAACTACTAGCTTACAGGTAAAACCAGCACCTGTTCCCTTCTCTCTTCAATGTCCTACCGAGATAAGATCCATTTCCCAATCCAGTCCCTACCCACTCTCCAGCCTGCAGAAAGGAAGCTGTTTAGAGTCAGAGCTTAAGGCCAGAAGACTGATGTGATAGTCTGGCCTCCTGTCTAGCACAGGGCACCACCACCACCCGCACACTTACGTTCTCCTTGCTATAGACTTTTTCTTTCATAGATTTGTAGAGTTTAAGGCCAGAAAAGACATGATGATCATCTAGTCTGACCTGGTCTTATCGCTGGCCATAGGTTATTGAAAGGTTTTATCCTGCCTTCTATAAAGCATGAAAATAACCCTTCATTGTTTGGCAGTAAGAATGAGATTTTCATGGACTTTGCTCCGGAAGCCTCAGAATTCGTATTAGAGGCTGATTACCCGTTTGAATTTAGCAGTCAGTTAAGCTTTGCTCAAATTGCGCAGTGTAGAAGGGATTAACATTAGAAACTGAAAACTAATCGGCAATAACTCTGCCATGTGTATTAGCAGCCTTCTATGGAACAGCTAAGAATGGAAATTTCAGGCTCAAATCCATCTAGAATTAGGGTATGAAATTCAATCTGGATTATTTGTTTACAAAGTCAAATTAGACAATTTTTGTTCCCCTTGCCTCTCACAAATTATACTCCAAAGGCACTGCCATCAAGATGCAACTGATGGACAGGGACCTATAACGTAATAATTTAGGAACACTGTATGTGACCTGGTTAGAGAGATTAAGTTATTGTAGCTTGGTTACTCTCCTGTCTGAATGCATGGATCTAGTTTAACAGGGGGCTGTGGGAAAAGCAAGCAGGAAAACAACAACTAGCTACAAATAATCAGCCCCCCAGTAAGGGTTAAGGGGCAAAATTACAGGACAATGGCCTACTTCCAGGCCTAAGTGACACAGCTCTTTCTGCCAATGCTGGGAACTAAGAAATCAAAAAAGACACCGAAAAGCCTCTCAGGAGAGGAGGTGGGACCAATTGCCAAGTGCTGTTCCTGGTAAGAACAAAGACAGGTCCTGCAAGAGCTGTGGGAGTGTCAGGGAAGTTGGGGAACGGGGAACTCTGAGGAAGGCAGGCAGGCATACCTATGGATTGGTTACTGTTTTCAGATATTTTCTTTTATATGCTTTTGTTCTAAACAAACACTACTTTGCTTTAAGAAGGCTGTTTGATCATTGCTCCCAGAGGGCAATGATCTGTTGAGGTAATCACAGGTGATCTGAGGACAGTGGCCCAAGGGGTTTGGTCTGAGAGTGGGAGAATAGTGAGATTCCATGTGGAGAGGGAACAGTCCAAGACCTGAGAGGAATGCACTTGAACAGACCAGGAAGGGTAAAAGCTGCAGTTTGCCTATCATCGTCACAACTCCCAGGCTCGGAGCACGTGCCACAAGCAGGATCCGGGCACAGGGGTAATGCTCAGTTCTTACACAGGGACTTTCATCTGCAAATCTCAAAGCATGTGACAAACATTAAATCTCAACGTTGCCAATTGGTGTCATCCACATTATACAGATGGGCAAACCGAGGCACTGCTCAGTAGCAGAGCTGAGACCAGAACCCAAGACTCTGCGTGCCTGACGTCTAGACCACAGGGTAACAGCTTGGTGTGGGCAGTGGAAGTACATCTGGGGGAGGGGAAAGAGACTGGGATTGGTTGGGCTCTGCTCACTTTTGGGGGACCACTAAGAACAGAATTTTGGCAGGGGAGGGGACAACAGACAAAAGATGAAACTGTTCCTTCCCCCTCACCATCTCTGGAATAGCAGCTATGTGTGAACTTAATGATCTGCACCCCTCTGTAGCCCATGAAGGAGATGTCTGCTAGAAAGGAAATCCCTTAAGGAAGCACCAAAAAACAGATGCAAAAAGAAGCCCTCGGAAGGACTTACCTTTTGTTTAGCACCATGTTTCCTAGTTTCAAGTCTCTGTGCACAATATTTTTCTGTAAGACAGATTCCATATTAGATCAGATGATATCATATGAACACAAGCATCCTTAGAATGAGTTCAGTTCTGGCCCCAGCACTCAGAGGATACAAAGCACTAATCCTATTTTAGAGACTGCATCATCCTCCGACTAGAAGAATATTAGAGGCAAATGCTCACACTCTTAGCCTGTTGAATTTGTTATTGTGATATACAATCCAAGAGCTATTCCAGCACACAAGCTGCCCATGGAAGGTAAAGCCTACAATGTAGAGATATAGCTGGATCAGTCTACATTCAAAATAGCAACATAAGTGTCTGCAAACATTGCTGAGGCCCAGTTTGGTATTTTTCAGTTGGTTCTGGGGGTAAACAGCTGTAAAGAAGGCTGTCTATACCCAAATAATATAACCATAACAGTCAGATGTTGAGGGCCCTTCATCTAATGAGCTTGGTGACACCCCCATGAAATTCAAAGTGTTAATTTGCCACTGAGGGTGTATCCAGTGCTCTTGCACTACTCTGTCTGCTTCATTCTTGTTGCCCGGTTCAAAACTGCAGTGTAAGAATCCTGCTAACTCAGGTCTGCTGCAGGCTGCCCAGTCCCGGCAATGCCCCTTTCGACTGAGAAATTCTTCTGAACGTGCATGTTTATTAGCTCACTGGCAAGGCTCTGCTAAGGGAGGCCGGATGTCACTTTTTACAGCCTAACAAGTCAGAAACCTCAGTGGAATCTATTTTTATAGCACAGTAATTTCCAGTTCATTGATCTCAAACTAGCAGCACAGGGTTTTTATCTCACTTATGATTTATATTGCTTCCATGGGAAATGCTTTGGAGTGGATCCTGGATTTGATCAGCCTCAAACCCAGAAAGTTTCTTTTTGTTGAGGTTAATAGTTTTGCTGTTCACCTGATTTACATCTAATCCAACTGCTCTCTCTCCTCAGCCAGCAACTGTTGTGCCATCAATAAACAGCAGGGGAAGAGAGGTGATGCTCTGGTATGGCTCAGAATACCGAGGCTTGCGTAGAGCTTAATGTTTGAAAAGGATTGTGTTATTGGAAAAGAGCTGAGACAGCCATCCTTTGTAATCCTTCAGTTGCTTTTATGAAGTCCAGGATACTAATTTGGGATGAAACTCCCCCAAGACACGTGCACAGGCTACACGGAGACCCTACCTTGTGTAATGCTTCCACCACTCGTACCACATCGTAGAATATAACAACAGTCTCCCGTTCGCTGAGTCTCTTCTCTTTAATGACGTAATGCTGCAGGTTGATTAAATCTGCTGTCTTGTCGCTGAAATCGTGAGCACAGAGACAGTCTAAAACAAGGCAAATGCGCTTCCTCATCTTCCTGACCATTCTGTTGGTTTCCAGATCTTCTATGATTTCACAAGTTCGGTCCTGCAGTGGCAGACGGAGGGAAGGAATGGAGTTTAAATAAATGGTCTAGTTTGCACATGCTGGGGACATATGTATTACTTAGGAACAGAGCATTAGAGAATAAGATGGCCTTTTAGATAGTTATAATAAAGTAATAAGCAAAGCACAGATAAGAGATTACCCAGGACACACTTGTTTGATTTAAGATTAGCAACTATAGGGCTTAGTCCGCATTTCCTGGCCTGAGTAGTGCAAAAGCATGGGTACTCGACACAACCAAAACCTACATCAAACGCCAGCATGCTCAGAAACCAGACACGGGACTGGGACTGTAATGTAGCTGGGCCCTCTGGTTTTGTTACAGCATAGACAGAGCCTCAGTTGAAACAGGCTGTTGACAAACATTTAGCCAGCAAGTGAACAATCACCTGCATCAGAGCTAACATCTCTCATCAGCCAACCTGTCACAGACTCAATAAATGACTTATTTCAGAGGTGTTAACAGCCCTGCAATTGGTTCACTTACGGATATTTAATTGCTAATTAGCACATTTACAAATTTATTTTAACATGTTGAAACATCATCTTGGAAACTTGTCTGCTTCTCCCAATTCAACAACAGACCGATTACTGAAACTGCAAAGCATAGATTACATTCTAAAAAGGCGCTTTGCTAATTAGCACAAATATGAAGCAAGGGGCATAGAGCAATTCCATTTTCCTGGCGTGGGATCCAAATTCTAGGTGCTATTGCTATAGCTGTATCATATTAGAAGAGCCTCTTCAGACTGACACTCATGTTTCTAGTCCTTACTTCAGGCTACTTCTCAATGTTAAGCAGCACAGGAAGGCTCACAAGTGCACATATCAAGACCCATGTCCTGTTTTATAATCTAATCTATCACATCACAAGGCTTATTTCATCAGTATTTAACATGAATTGCCTCTGCAATACACTTGCTTGCTTTAAGAGGCACTGATTAATCATGGCTAAGGCTGCGATTTTGTCATGGAGGTCCCAGAATCTGTGATTTCCAAAGACTTCCGTGACTTCAGCCAGCACCATGTGGGAGCTCCCAATCTCCACGTCCCACAGCTGCCCAGGCTACCCATTTTGTCATGGGTAATTTTAGTAAAAGTCAAGGACAGGTCAGAGGCTGCCGTGAATTTTTCATTATTGCCCATGACCTGTCTGCGACTTTTGACAAAAACTTAGCCTTAATCATGGCTTGCATGCTGATAATTCTCTATGTGTGAGACTGTCAGTGTGGGTAGCACACTGCACAGAGTAGTAGTTCAGGCCCACTGCAGTTGCTAGTGTCCTCAGAGAGCCTGCGAGGTGGCTGGCGGTACCTGAAAGAGCCCATGATGGTGAACCACTCCATCCTGATTGTGCAGAAGGGAAAGGAGAGAGTACTCTGTGTGCAGCAGCATCTTGCCCTGTCGCTCCTCCTGGGTTTCTATTCCTTTGTCACCCCTTTCCTCCAAGGTAAGAATCTTTGGGAAAGGAGAAAAAAAGCCTTATTCCTTTAGGAAAAACCGAAGTCCCCCCACAAATATTTAGCTACAGCTGTACAAGTTTAAACATTCACACGTGCATTTAACAGCTGAATGGAATTACACCAGTGCTTGATTTATGTACTTGCCACGAAGTGTGTCAACTAACATATGTGCAGAATGATACAGCATGAATTTGATGTGCTGACAGGAAACACACATTGCCCTTGCAAGCACCCCTGATCCTTTCCCCCTTTGTTGCCAGTACAACAGCTCAGTTCCCTTAGTGGCGGTAGTGCAGAGAGAGCTCCAGAAAGCCACTGGTGTGTTAAGCACAGTTGTTTAACCCTGCTCAGAGCAGCAGCAGCAGCTTTGCTTGAGAGCTAACACTTGCACCAATGTTGCTGCAAGTGGGGGTGAACGGCTGGCAGGAAGTTTTAGCAGCCAATCCCCAGTGTATACAAGGCTTTAGACTGTTGCATTCTCCAGAGATTCAGGCAGTTTCTCTGATGGAGCAAGGGTTAAAAAGTCTCAGAGGATCCACACCCCAGGTGTTTTGCTTACCTTTAGTTGATAGAAGTCATCTGTCCCATCCTTTCTTGCCAAACACTGAACAATACTTGGCACAGGGGAGTTACCTAAACGTGGACCTACCAGCACAAAGCAGAACAGATTGGTTTTCCTTTAAAAAGCTATGATTAATTCAATGTTATGTCAATATTCAGCTGTCATACAGTTTGCATAAGTCTAAATCGAGTTCCTTTTTCAGCAGGGCATGAATATCCACACTGTCCGTTTCTTCCCATAGATTGTATTACTCTTAAGAAAACAAAGGATGCTGGATTCTGAACCTCCGTGGACAATGGTCCATTTGTTCACAGAAGAGCCCTTTGGCAAAACACTGCACAGTGTCCAGCTGTCCCTTATAGAAATACAGATTTCTGCATGCCTAAACCATATAGCTTTTACATTCGCTATCAGCAGCTGTGGCAAGGAATTCTTGAACCTCTGAATCTAGCTGCCACTCCTAAAGGGGCTGCTCAGTTTAACAGTTTATTGAATGCACCAGAATAACCCACTGTGTTGATTTCCCATCTTAACTAGTCCATTTTTAATAACAGATGATCTGATAGGTTTTATACAATGGACTTCACAGGGATATTGGGGTTATGCAAAATAACTCTAAAGACTATACATTATGCAAGTGACAGCCAAGAGCTACTGGGAAGGGGCCAGCCAACAGGACACATACCAAGGAGAGAGCAGCCACTGTGTTACTTCAATAAACTGTGTGTGCGCTAATTTAACAGCATATTCAGAGTGAAGTGGGGTTGAACATACACCCCAGGGCTCCTTAGGGGAACCCGTCCTACTACACATCACCCCCAAGAAGAGAGTTTGCCTTTGGATACAATTTAAATATTCAGTCCCCAAATCAATAAAAGCTGGGGTTCACAGTTGTGCCCCTAATGGCTCTGCCTGTCCTGCATTACAAACAGCCTTAATTTTCCAGTTACAGGCGCTCAAAGGATTGCTGCTTTGTCAACTTCAGATGAAGCGAATTTTGCTAGGCACAAAAACCTAGATTACAATTCTGCTTTGACTCATTTTATTGAATCGGTTTTCCTTAAGCTTCGCAACCATTAACATTCCACCTCATACGGCCCAAGGGATGAAGAAAACCTCTTCTGCTTACCTAGGATGAAAGGGCCTGCTCTCTTGGCATTACTTCCAGAAATCCCTGCACAAAGAGCCTTTGCCTTAGCGGATGTTTCCCCAGCTCCTCTGTCTGACGCTCGCCGCTTCATCCTCAGCTCTTGAAAGACAGGGAAGATCCCACTTCAGTGAGTAACAAAGCTCTTCTCCTTGCACCAAACCCTATCTTGTGCTGGAAACTTTTGACTGGATGATGCACAGCACCTCTGCCTATTTGTCTAGTAGAAGGCAGTTCCTACTGACCAAACGCTATGGCTCATCTACTGGCGGATGAATTGGGAGCTACAGACTTCATACATTTCAGGAAGGTACAAGGAACAAGGCAGCTTCATTAGAATGTAATGTTCCTAGATCAAAAAGAAGAACAGGAGTACTTGTGGCACCTTAGAGACTAACAAATGTATTAGAGCATAAGCTTTCGTGGACTACAGCCCACTTCTTCGGATGCTGTTACTCTGAAATCTGTTCCTAGATCAGTTATTTGACACATGTAATTGAGCCGGGGGGGGGGGGGAAGAGGGGAGAGAGAAGAATCTAAATAATTAAGACTTGTTTTACGGCAGAATAAAGCACATGAATGAACACATTCTAAAAAGCTTCAGAAGAAACTGCCTCTGTTCCTCCAAAAAACTCCGAAGTCAACCCATGAGGCCCTAGGGGTTTATTCACAGAAACACTTATGCTTTAATGATTGTGGCCAACTCACCAGCTATTGAGAAGCACAAGAGTCTTTACAGTTCTCAGCACTTAGCGGAATAAAACTGATCATTTGGCTGAATCACTACATTTCAGCTTTCCCTGGGACAGAGCATTGGGGAGGGAGGGCGCATGAAAAATGCATACATCTCTATTAGTTACTTTGGGATAATTAGCTAATTCATCCACAATTAACAACTTATTTGTAAATGAGAGAGAAAAATTATATACATTTTATAGTTAGTGTAAACTAAAATCCCCCTCTCTTTGTCCTTGTTTACCCTATAACCTAATCTATACTCTTATCCCTTCACTATGTTCATCCAGCTGGACTGAGTTGAATTCAGGCACTTTCAGTCTGCTGTATAAAATCACTGTCTCTCTCGTATTTCTGTGCTTCACACTGTCTAAGGAAAAGCACACTGCCACCAGTTCTCAACAGATATTTTGCGGTGGACAAATTCGTAATGAAAAAACCTGGATGTGAGCTCCCCTGCTCTACCGCCATGCAGGAAAATACTCCTGTCCATCACAGGAATGTCTTGCATGCATCCAAATGTGCAGATAACAGCATTATATATAGGCAGACTGAAGGAATGGATAATCACTCTGGACTAGGCTCTGGAGTGTGTTACCGTCTCCTTATTCAGGTATTGCAGAGATGTTCTGGACTCTTCTCAAATGAACCAGCCTTCTGTTCTTCAGAGCCCTAAAGAAAATGTATTGACGTAGCCCTGCAGCCCCAACAGCTAAAGGTCCAGATTAATCCACGTCTCCGATTGGTCACAATACATTTCTCTCTATAGGGTACAGTCTTGCCTCAGTTCAGTGGCAAGAGAATTTGTCCTCAGGTTGGCTATGAAACTATTGCCGTTGCTACATACTGCGCTCAGTGGGTTCGCTGCTAGTGCAAAGGTCTTACTGCAGCAGCCGTCGTCACTGGCGCGAGCACCAGTCTGCGGAGAGTTCCCCTTACACCGGACTCCCTTCCCTGGCTTAGGAGTCATTTTAAAGAGAATGCTCCAACTCCACATTGATTAACTGGATTCATTCTAACACATTTTAAAAGCAGTTCAAAAAGGAATGACTAAGACTTTCAATAGGAACTGCCATAAACAAATTCCTTGCAAAGTTTCAATGACTTCTGAGCAGGGGAAGGGGGCTTTGAGTACTTGTTAACAGTGCTGATGTTTAAAAGGTGAGATAGACGGATACATTCTTCCCCCTCTCCAGCCGTGACTAGGTAGAGTGGGAAGTTCACACCTCCGGTGGCATGAACTTTTCACTGACTGCTGACTCAACATGACACCACTATCAATTTATACAAGAGCACTTACCACTGTGCCCAGCAGAGCAAGAAATTTTACAATAGGAAGTGGGATGTTTCCATGAAATCAATCAGCAGGTTTAACCCCCCCCGTTACTGACCCATACATATATTTGGCTTTGCCTTTAAATTAAGTATTAACTGAAATTAACTGAATTCAGTTATGGCACCCATAAGGTTTAGTGGTTAGAACCAAGGTCTGGGTGCCACAATGGTCTTAGTTCTGTTCATGCTGCATCATTGACTTGCTACTTGACCTTGCTGAAATCACTCAATTCCCCGCAATGTAATCATTCCAGATGGAAATATGCACAAACAAAATTTCCCCGAGGAAACCCCCAGCTAATACATATGCTGCAACAACTGGTGCTGTGCAATCTGCGTTCATTAGGACTCACTGGTGCACATGGCATTGTCGTAAACAAAATAATCTGAGGACTCACGTTGTAGTTCAGCATCAACCATATCTTTATTCTTCTTCCAAACTAGGTTTTCCAATGCCTCAGGAGACAGCAGGCATCACTCTGGAGAAGGCTGGATGGTGGAAAGGTCCGGGACTCTGTAAATGTAAAAGAGATGCACTTGATGCTATGGTTCTCGGATTATGTTGGACTATGACAACATGGTAGGCACCAAAACTTCTGTAATTTGCAACGTCTATGTTTTGTTTGTCTTGGAATAACCTCCAGATCCCTTTCTAAGATTCTGCTTGTGGACAAGCGAGTATGGCTACCGAAGCTCTGTTACTGGAAAGTTAAATGTACAGATGGTACTGTACAAACTGAAGACAAATACTAGCCTCAAGGATCTTTCTAATGTTATTTTGTGGTGCAAGCCGGATCATTTAGAACTCAGTAAAAACTAGCTAAATGGTTTTCAAGGGATGCCTGACTGTTGAGCTTTTACCTACATAAAAATTAATAATTACCTACCTACCACTTTCATGGAAGGAGAGAAGGAAATGAATTCCTCAGCATCAGCAACTATTTTTGTATTGCTATAAAAGGGTTAATATATGCACAAAGTTTGTACTTCAGACAGTGTATCAAACTTTGTCCTTCCCAGAAACTAAGTTCTTATTGAATCCTGGTTGCACAAGGACCTCTCTTTAAAAGGGCCAAGAAAACCTGTGACAAAAATAATTCCACTAAAATTCAGTATCATTTCCAGTTAATCTGGTCACAACTCAAAGTCATGCTCAAGTAAGGATTGCAATTAGGATTTAGTCAGGCAGTCAGTGTATTAAAAACCAACAGATTATTACAAACATTTGAGGTTTAAATATTGTGTAACACAATTTGTACAGCTTTACTAAACCCCAACAATGTTTTAATCCCCTTGTATTTGTTTAAATAATAAACTGCAGTTGAACCTAAATAAACGCATATGTGACCATATTTGGGACACAACAAAAGTTAATCTCCTTTGAGGCCAGATAAACTGTAAAGTCACAATACATCTGGTTACTGGAACTTGTTTAAAAGGCTACCTGGCACTGTACTTTGAATGTCATCTTCAATTTTTAATATTTTGTCTGACAATGCCAAAGGACTTAGCACTAGGAGCTAAGACCACAATGAACATTTTTCTAAGGGTTGGTCTACACCTAAAAATGTAGGTTGACCTACCATGTTGCTCAGCAGTATGAAAAATTTACACCCCCAAGAGCCGTCGTTAAACCGATCTAAGCTCCAGTGTAAACACCGCTAGGTCAACGAAAGAATTCTTCCAACAATTTAGCAGCTGCTTCTTGAGGGGGCGGATTTAGTATAGCGGTGGAAACCCCCCTTCTGTAGCTGAAGCAAGCGTCTACACTACAGCAGCGTGGCTGTAGACATAGCCTCAGTCACGCAGACTTGTGCCGGATGGGCTGTAGCAGTGCAAAGGAGGCAAGCTCACAAACCTACAAGCATGGTCTACGCAGCATTTTCACTATGAGTTTATCACAAACAGAGTGGGAGGAGTTCTCATTCCTGCCCTGTTAAAGTGACACTGACTTAACGATCACACTCCTGTCAGAAAATTTACCTGCTGTTGTAACAAGCAATGTCCAAAACGGCTGGGACTGAACGATTAAAGAAAATCCTGTTTTCAGTCTGTGCATCTGACAGCACTTTGTCTAGCTTGTTTCTCCCTCTGTAGGGCATTTTGCCTGTTTAGTTTGGGGATCTCACACAGCAACAGGGAAGAGAATAACTTAATAAATAGGAAAATGCAATTGTAAAGCTGCAAAAATTGACAGGGGGACTCAGGTGCAAGGATAGCACCTGAAATTACTTTTAACTCATGTTTTGAAATTGAGAGGATTTCATGTTGAAGATCCTTTAAGCAATGGAACATGAATTAAATCCAAGATAGAAAGAGAAAGTCCCAGAAGTAAAAGGAAGAAAGCCAAAGGCAGCTGCTCTCAAAAATACCGGGAAGATGGTTCCCTTTTCTGCATTTACTGACATTGCATAACCCTGATTAAACCAAGGAAAGTGGTCAAAAGGCCACAGGTTTCATGGTGCAGCTTCTCTCTTAGTAACTGGGGAATGCCCACAGAGACACAGGTTTGTTTCACCTACAACACTGCATTGCTTTGAAAAACAGGATCTAGGGGATGACTCTATTGAGGCCTTTCAACATGAATGCCACTGTGCTGCCTTTACTTGAAAGTGTCCTCTACAGAATGCATCATCATCACAGCCCTGATAAACTGCAATGCAAGAGATTCCCCGCCCCCTACCAAGTCCACAGGCATACAGAACATGCAGATCTGCTAGTGCTTCTGTTTTGTCTTAGCCCTGAGCACTGCCATTATAACGCTCATTTCAAGAGGGGAGCACTTGTATCAAATATTTTAATAATGGGCTCTTCCATCTAGCAGAGAAAGGGATAGCACAATCTCATGGCTGAAAGTTGAAGCTAGACAAATTCAGACTGGAAATAAGGGCATATTTTTAAGCGAGTGAGGGTAATTAACCATTGGAACAATTTACCAAGGGTCGTGGTGGATTCTTCATCACTGGCCATTTTTACATAAAGATTGGATGTTTTCCCAACAGATCTGCTCTGGGAATTAATGTGTTAGTTCTCTGGCCTGTGTCATACAGGAGGTCAGACGACATCACATGGTCCTTTCTGGCCTTGGAATCTATGAATCCCACTGAAACCTGGTCTATAGGCTGCCAGCTCAAATACCAACTATTTAATTATATTCTAAAAAGATCTAAGTGTTAAGTCATATTTAAAGGGACATCATCCAAACCAGTAGACCCTAAAAGTAGATCCAGCAGCTGTGTTTGGAAGCACTGATGCTAATCCTGCATTTGACTGTATGCTCAGTTCTTGTGAGCACAGAGGACAATGAAAGAGATGGTAATCTGGTTCTGCAAGCACTGCAGAAAGCTAGATAATCTGCAGTCCCCTCCATCCCCAAAGGACTTCACAGGATCCCCAGCCTCCCTTAAAACAATCACAGCTTCCTTCCAGCCAAGGTAGGTTGGTGGTACATGCCAATGGACCCCATCAACACTACCCCTACATCAACTGGAGGAGGTGCCAGAGAGAAACAGGAAGTGTCACAGTTACCGCAAAGGCCAAATTATGTTCCAAACTCCAATTTCCTTTTGGTAGAATGTTTTACCACCACTGATCTGCCAAAGCAGCAAGAGGCTTTCCCCTGTCCTGTTTGCTCACAAGAAGAAAGCAGACAAATCTGAGGATTACTGCATCATGCAAGGATTTCTTGCTCTGCAAAGGCATAATGAACAGGGAACCAAAGAGCAAATGAATAGTAATAATCATGGCCCTGTGTACAATGCAATTATGCAACCATGCAAATTGCAGCATAATTGTTAATTATTTTAAGATTGCTACACAATCATGCTCTAAAATCTACACTTGCTTTAACAGAAAATCGAAGTCTTTAGCATTATGATGGTGAAGAAAGAACCACAGATGAACTTCTGCAATGTCGTCTGCAGATAGTCTCAAACACTGCTTTATAGCTGGATCTCATTCTCACCTCAGGAGCCTAAAGAGATCCATTTTAATAGTACAGGATTCAACCCTAGTTTACTAAACCAAGTGCCAAAATGAATTCTGCAAAAGCTGCCTGGAAATATTTTGACTTGTGCACATTGTGATGGCCCAGCAGTGCTCTCTCTCTCTCCATAAAAGAATGGAGACCCAGCAAGTCACCTTCCTAGGAAACTCTGCATTGTCGTAACTTCTAAATGCCTAAAGTCAGCTGACAAAAGCAGAAAAGGTTGACTGATCTGGGACAAAGATCAAAGGCAAAGGAGACCTGCATGTGCTGGAATTTAAGGATTACAAGACAAGCAGCAAAAATTGCAATGGTACCCAGAGTTTGGATGCATCAGCTACCACAGGGGTGTTTTTCACTACAACAGCCTGTGCTGGATTTAGAATTGAGGATTCCAAATAAAGTTGCTTCATTGGTCTTGCATTTAGTATCCCCAAACCTCCCAGGAGCTGAACAGGCAGTTTTTGAAAGAGTCTCTGAGCTTTACTTGCAGCAAGTAGCAGCCCTCAGAAACCAGGATACCTCCACACTCGTATGTTTTTGCTTTGCTGAAGTGATCACTGAAGTGCCTGAAACTTTTGTATCGTTTCTAAGATGGAAACACTGCAGGCAAAACAAGATAGGTAAACAGAGTTACAAGCGCAGCTCCCAGACTGCTAATTTAAACATGGCACAGGACAAATGAATCATTTTCCCCCGGAGACTCCTGGCAGCTACAATTTGTCATCGAACCTGAAACGTCAGCTAAAGACATAGAAAGGAAGAGACGCCAGTGGAAACAGCCTAAATAAATAAATAAAAATCCGCTCACCACCCCTCCGGCTGCTATGCAGCTAGGAGAGGCTCAAAGCTCCCACCACATATCCCTGGATTATTGATCTCTTCCTCATGCTGAAAGGGACCCTCCGTCTAGGTACAGAACACTGGACACAGATCCTTCTTCCACTGCTGCCAGGAGAGGCCAAAATACTGCTTGAGTGCAAGGCTTTCCCAACACCTACTGCATCAGGAAGGCAAGGAACCCACATTCTGGTTCTCAGTGGAGTTACTAGGCCCTCATGACTGATATTTCAGTGTCCATAGAACTGTGCTTCTCCCTGCAGGATTCAGTCCATTTTCCAAAACAAAAGTTAGAATGGCATTACCGGTTTTGCACCGAGGGACAGAACAAAGGCCCTCAGACCTGTTTATTCATAGGAAGGGGAAGCCACATTAGCATCTCCTTGCAGAGCTCTGCAGCTTTAGAGATGAACTGCACAAGACCCAGCCATTTGCAATGCATCTGGCATCTTAACTTGCTGGCTTTTCCAGCCAGCATTTTGGGCACTTGTTGATGTGCAGCAATGAGCAGGCTCTCTTGAGAATAAGACCAAAAACGATCGGATACTTCCAACACAAGTTACAAGAATTAGCACAAAGGTTACTGTTCTGCTTGCTTCCTCCAATCCACTGATACCAGGCACCTGATCAGACAGGCTTCAATGCCAGTTTTAGATTTTACTGAAATTTAAACAGCAAAAGATGACATT